TGCTGTTAAAATTCAAAAGAAAATATGCAAATATTTCGCCAGCAAACGATTTCGCTGTAAGTGAAAATCCACCTTTATTTAGAAATACATGTATGCAAAATCTCCTGGTTTAAAGGAATTATTTAGCAACAAGACGCCTGCTCAAGGCGTTCACTCCGCCTGCAGGTGAGGAAAGAATGTGACAAAAGGTCACAAAATGAGGTGATGGGCCGTTGGAATGGTTACATGATGTAACTGTTCAATTTTGGTTTGCTTTTGAAGCATGGCTTCGAATGTTTATTTGTAATCAATATTACAAAATTGGTTTTTGAGGTTCCGTGTTACTTTTAAAAGTTGGAATTGGCTAGTTACAGTAAATATGTTTGTTTCATTGTTTCATATAATTACGCATTTATGCTCGGTAATTTACGAACACTTATGACGTAACCGTATAACGTCACATATTTTCATATTTTTTGGTTGCAGACGAAAACAACTGCAATGCATAATAGTGCATATGTATAGATGTTTACCGTAATTAAGAAAGTTCCGCTCCCATGTGTACATTTGTTGGCTAGCCTTTATGTACTATTTACAAAACGAGAAGGAGTGCTTTATCACATGTAAAACACGACGCGAAGCCCAGTGTTTTAGATGTGATAAAATACTAACTACGAGTTTTGTAAATGGCTTAAGAAACGTCTCAGTTATATGATGGCACTGGCAAAATAATTTTCAAAAATAGATTTCTACATGCCAAGAAAGGGTGAAATTACCTTGTAAAATAATTCACCAAATCATATGAGAATGGAAGCCGACTAGTGCCATAGTGGCGTTATGGTTTGGTTTTGCAACGTATATGTTCATTAATTAACTTCACTCAATATAACATTTATTAACACATGATTGAAAGAGAGGACAACAGAACTTACAGAAGTTCCAAATTGAGTCCCATCAAAGCTATTTAGTAACATGCATAACATTTATATGTTTGCTGATCTAATTTAACTGTATCAGCGACGTTTCATATTAGTACAGCTACAGAACAAAACTGGAGAAGTTATCCATACACCAAATGGCAAATGGTTCTCCAGCGCTATGGTAACAATGACAATAACAATGACAATAATAATGACAAAAACAATGACAAAAACAATGACAATAACAACGGAGACTAGGCGCCTCTGGGAGTCGCGCCAACGGAGACCAGGCGCCTCTGGGAGTCGCGCCACTCAACAAGCAAGCGAGATCACTGATGAAAAGGTATAAAGCTTTAAATGGGAGAAAATCGCCTCCAAATTACCTCGATCCCGTGCAATGTGAAGAGATTTGCGTTAACGACCTTTGCAAGAACAGCACACAACGTCGTTTACGAACAACAGGTAATGTAAACAGTGACAATTACCCATACTATAAGTAAGAAAACAAGCAAAATACAGAACAACAAATTACAATACAAAAACACAAGACGGTTAAATACGATGACAAGGACATTCACGTGACACTGATCTGGTACATAACAAATTAACATCAAAAACAGAACATACTAACTTAGAATAATGTTCATAATTCATAAAGGTAGTTTTTGAATGTTCTCAAACAAGAGAATGCATTTGAGGCAGCTGAACTGCAAACACAGTTTCACAATTGGATTGAAGTATGACGTCTGGTAGGTGGATGGATTGCAGCAGGGAGTTTTGAGTACGAGGTTTGGATTGTTGCGGTGACAAGTTCGGTTGTGGGGAAGAAAAAAACATGTTTGTGGGCATTAAGGTTTGCCATACGTTAAAGGGCTTTGTAGAATAAAATCAGATCTCCGAACGGAGCTTTCGGCAATGATGTTTGGTAAATCGTTTTTACTCAGCCCTTTGTTGTTTATTTATGCTTCCCTGAGACACGCCGATGTAACACAAGACCAATTTGGAGCGAAACCATTAGTGACAACTCTTTGTGTTTTGCCAGGTAAATAGTCTTTGAACCATCCGTCCACAAACACCATATATATTGCTTGAGTTTTGCCAAGATTAAACAGTGGTCAACAGAGTCAAAGGCTTTTGCAAAATGTAAATACGCTACGTCAGTTAATAGTAGTCAAAGTTTTCTCCAATCTTGTGAACAGCCTGTAACATTTGTGTTATACCTCATCGGTTTTACAAGAACTTGTTGACTGAGGGAAATATATATATCTGATTACCTGACCGTAACGTTGTTTGCATCAAAACGTTCCACTCATTTCAGCGTTAATGGGCAACAGAGATATTGGCCAGTAATTTTTCGCTGGCCCTTTCAAGCCTTTCTTGTGAACTGGTTTCAAATTAACTGCTTTCCACTCAACGGCCAGTCGCCCAACACACAAGGATAAATTAAAAAATTCACAAAGACTTGGTGCAATACCACGACTATATTCTTTAGGAATGGGTGCTGATATTCCGTCCGGGTCACAGGCTTTTGTCGCATCTAGATTTCTAAGGTAATATTCAACTTCCTGCACACTCAATTGGGGTTCGCCAGTATTCGTAACATTTGAGATTTCTTCATGATTCGTCATCATTGATATCACCACTGGGGATTGGGGACTTTTGAGGATTGAATTGTTCATGGCCTAAAGTGAACACAATGTTTCACATAAATTATTCATAGGGTTTCCACTGTCCATAATGACAGGTTATTTGGTGGATAATACAAAGAGTAAAAAGACTAATTGGAATGCTGTACACTAAAAATACTTTGGCCAAAAAACACCTTATTAATTTGAACCCAAACCGTCCATTTGGCAGCTTTTCAAAATGAGTGGTCTTATTTATAGAAATCATAGTCTTAATATATTAATAAAAGTTTGTTTTTGCTAGTTTTCGGTCAGAACAATAGATTTTTTATGTTATACTGCACATAGAGATCTTACCAATTTAAAGCTAGCGAGAATCCAGCATCTCCTCCCCGATAGCTGTTGTGTTCTTCATTTCATGAACAACTTGTAGTTTTTCATTGTGGCTGGCGTCAACCTATAAAATATAAAAACTACGTTGATCACATGATGCAAAAACATCTAAGATAATGAAAAATAGGAAATGGAGCTTACCTTTATATTGTCAAAGGAATAAGGATCCACCAAATAATCGAGAATGAAAGCACGAGAGGTGTCATGAGAGGGAAGCAGGTGTTGCAGTATGAACTGCAACAAAGGTTTTCTTGCATCGGAAAGGCTGGCATTCATACAAACACTTGGCATTCAAAGATGTACATCAGTATACCCAAACATACATGCATTACTTACAAATACATATAGAAAATAAAACAATATTGCCAAAAAATTTACTATGTGCAGTACTGTAGCGAAGTGACAACAGCATCATGATCAGAGTAATAAACACTTACAACAGAATTGTTCAGTATTCTTAAAGAATTTGGTCTTACATACACATGATCTAGTAAGCTACCAGAAGAAACGAATGTGGGTTCGGTAACAACTTGAGTATAGTTTAGGGATTCCATTAATGTCGCTAGCGGTTGAGATTGAGTTTGATTAAGGTAGTTAATATTAAAGTCACCAAGGACCATGTCAATTCTGGAACTATTAAGGATATATTCTAATGTTTCCAAATGACGCGAGATATTGGAGGTGTTTTTTCTATATAATAAAAGGAAGGAACGCGACTCTTGTAGTTTAGTGTCAACCAGATTGAACTTAAGTGCATTAAGTGAATGAATGTATTCATAATCTTGTATTTCCAAACTACTTTTTATACAGATTGCCATGCTAGAGTATTTGTCTGCATGATCTTGACGATAAATTCTAAAAGGTTTTAAAGTGTTTGTAATTTCTATGTCAGAGTCATTAGGTAAAAGCTGTGTCTCAGTTAGTGCCAGTACATCAGAATTGAACAACTGAGAATGTGACCTGATATCTTTACTGTGCTTTCTCAAAGATCTGATGTTCAACAGTGATATTGTCAGAACTGAATTATTGCAGCAATCTTTTTCTATTGGTGCGTTTAAGCATGAACTGGAGTTTCGAAGTCTTTCGTATTCTTCATGTACTTTGGGATTTGCCTTGATATGTTTACTTTGTATTTCTCCGAGTATGTGTAAACCTTGTAAGGATGTTGCACGGCTTAACGCTACATAAATTTGTCCATAGTTGAAAGATCTTTGCTTCTTTAAGTCCAAACTGACAACAACATTTTCAAGAGTAAGTCCCTGCACTTTATGGACAGTACAAGCCCAAGAGAGTGCTATGGGAAATTGTATTCTCTGAATTTCAGGTGAAGATGCTTTACCTGGTCTAACTTTAATCTTTGCAAGAACAGGCTGAATTGGTACAACGTGATTTTCTCTAGCAAAAGGATTGGTACTTGTATTTATTGTTGTTTTTCCAGCTTTCTCGTCATCAAATTTTACATATACAACCGTTGGTACATTATTAATGTTAGCATCAATTTTTACTACAGTTCCCATTTGCCCATTGATAAGTCGATCTTGTATATTGATATTTGTAGTAAGCATTATTCTGGCGCCTTCTTAATTTGAATTTCGGCATCAAGACCACATGTTTCAGATCGTCCTCTTGATAAAACTTTATCATATCTTGTTTACTAACATTTGGTGGATACTGATCTTTTGCTTTAAGTACATATAGCGGTGTTTGAATGGCTTCCAGTTTCATTTGGTTGTGTTCATTAACAGGAGAATTTCAGCCCAAATATGAAGTGCATCTGATGGATAGTTGGGATCAGATGGCGAAACTCTTCTTGATTGAATAACTTTAATATCATCCTCAGTATGAGAAGCTGTTCTTACTCTATTGAGAAGCTCAGTAAATGCCTTATCGTTTTTTTGCCTCATGATTTCTGTAAGTTCGACCATTTTAAAAACCCTCCATGGATGACAGAGATTGTGTGCTTCAATTTTGTAATCATCAAAAACTGGTCTCTTTTTTATTGGAGGTAACTGATACAGATCACCTACAGATATAATACTAATTTGTGCAAATAACTTGGTAGATGAGCAACCAAAGATTTCCTTTAATCGTTGGTGAGTGTGTAACAAAGTTGTGTTTCCAACCATAGAAATTTCGTCTATAATTATAAGTTTTACGTCTTTTAAAGAGAGTCTATACTGTGTTTTTCTCTGGTCAGACATTGCCGAAAGGTTCTCACCTGTTTCTTTAGGAATAGCAAGTTCTGTATTTAAGGTTGTTCCATCAATATTTATAGCTGCAACACCTGTAGGTGCCATTAATAGAACCGTTGGTAATTCAGGGTTAAACGGAGGATGTCTAAACGTTTTAACTGCCGTATGGTATATTGTTTTAATCAAGTGACTTTTGCCAGCGCCACCACCTCCAGTAAGGAAGAGGTATATAGGTTTTATTTCAACAGGTTTTAAACTGTTCATGTTTTTTATTAGTTTTCTGCACCAAGACAGAACTATATCATATGCACACCTTTGTTCTGCATTCAAGGATCTAACTGATTGGCGCAGTTGATCATCGGAAATTTCTGATGGTTGATTGTGGTAAGTAATTGTAGCAGAAGACTGATTTGATTGTGTAAGGTGAAGATGATCAGGTCGTTGTTCATTAAATGACTCGTTAGGATTTGTATCATTTGGTAGTTCGTCTTGGAGATCTGAATTTTCCTGATCATTTATGGTATCATAGGAATGGATTGTTTTGTCAGGATTATTTCTCATTGCTTCTAGTGCATCAGTTATAGCATCAGCATCAGGTTCAAACAAAACTTTGTTTTTTTCCACAATAGCTTGAACGTCAGGTTCATAAAATTTGGATGTATATGTTTGATCGGAACTTAGGAGCTCTGTTTCGCTTCTCCAAGGAAAATACAGCATAAGCAAATGATGGAAATATAACTCTGGTTCTTTTCTTTTATTTGGTGTATGATATCTTATAATAGCTTGAACCTTCCTACACCTCATAGTTTCATTTCTGTTCATTAATTTAATTTTGGGTGGAAGAGATTGTTCTGTATCTTCCTTCGAGTGATGTGATTCAAGCAAGTCATCATTTAAAACATCAGGTTGAGAATCCTTCGTTTCAACATTCTCTGTCCTATAACCCTTATAATAGAATGCAGCAAATTGTGCTAAACGTAATCTATCAACAACAGGAATTCCTTTTGGTCTTAGGCTATAACGCTCAATTATGTTGGATTTGTAAATATCTGTGCTCTCGTCATCAAGTTCATCAAGCTCACTTGGAGTTTTAGACATACGGACTCTTTTCTCTGGTAAATCTGTACCGACAAAAACAGTCATTGGGAATATTTTTCTCAACCACAGTTCAGGCATACATCTATATACACATTCTTGTGAACTAACCTCTCTTGTAGAAAGAAAAGCAGCACCAATTTTTTTTAAACCGTCTCTGATGTTCATGTTAGATGATTTAGCTTCCTTTGCAGCGTTAAGTATAGCCTGAGAACATTCAGTTTCATCCTTTGTAAAATATGAGCATACATATGTTATGCATTTGTAATGATTAAAAACTGGTTGTAGGTCAACATTTGCCGCAAATCCCTTAATCCCAGCAACAAAATAATTGTTAATAAAACAACTATCTACTGGTCGTTTAAGATGTAAGTCGAAATCAGAATCTGGTGAAATCGAGAGAGCCCAATAATATTCACCTTCAGCTATACCAACTGAATCTAATATATCTTTTTCGGTAGCAGTTGCGATATAGTTTTCTTTTGATGATGGATTCAAGACTTCATCAATTTTGTTTTTGACTAATGTTAGGATTTCTTTTCGTCTATTAAGTATAGTGCACTTGGCTTCCTCATCCATATTCTCATCAAGAGGCTCAGCTATAATTGTTCGTTTGGTGAAGAACTGTCCAAAATTAAAACGACATTGAACGTTTTTGTACTTTCTGCAGGTTTTTGAATGGTTATGTTTTTGATACGTTTTGACTAACTCGTGCAACTCTAGTTCATCTTGTTTATTAGGAAGGTTAGCTTGCACATGTTCATCAATAAATGCTACATAGGCATCCTTGCTCTCAGAAGTAAGTTTTGGACAATCAGAAGTCCATACTAATGCATGTAAGTGGGGAGATCCTCTCATTTGAAACTCAATTCGAAGAGCATAGTAAGTTATTTTGCCTATTGGGTTACAATGACTAAGAAGGACTTCACTAAAAAATGTTTCTACTCGGTGTTGAAAGTGTTTTGCAACAACAACAGGATTAGCATTTAACATTTGACACCTTTCCACATACGATAAAGCTTCAACTTCTTCTTCAGTTATATCTTTTCCTTGTGTTCTAGCAACTATTTGAAACAACTCAGGCCATCTCAGGTCAGCACATGATAACGTCATAAACCATGTTGGGATACCAAGTTGTTTTACCATAGCGACTACTTCATACATAAACTTTTGCCAGTAGGGTGGTGTACCAGGAATTTGCCTCAAAAATAAGTATGCTTGATCTTGACAAACTAGGCTTTTCAATTTGTTAACATCTGACTTTATCTGGGATGCAGTCACAGGCTGGCCTTGGATCTTTTTTAAAGCAATGTTAATGCTATCAGCGACTTTCTTTTGTTCAGTTACAAATTGTGCAAAGAATAGATATTCTGAATTTGTAGCAAATCTCCCACTGTAATGCAGAAGACGCGCATTGAAGTACTTCACAGGAGATAATTTAATCTTTCTCTCTTCCATATACCCAAAGCGTCCTTTTGGAAATAATACCGGGAATGCAAGTTGTTCTGATTTCTTGTCGGTCATTATTGATACAGGGTGTCTATTTTCTCCAGGAGCAATATCATATATTACATTACCCAGTGAACCACTTTGTTGTATAGTAACAGGATAGTCTGGTAGTACTGACTGTAAACATGATTCATTTGTTGCTCGTCGATATTTATTTAGTGGATCATCATCTTCTTCCATATTGTCAGTTTCATTTGGTGGTAATATTACAGAAGACGTATCTGCTGATTCTGACGTTTCTGCTAAAGTATCATCTTGTTCTAAGTTTTGAAGATTTGCACTGATATTATTCATATCAGTTCTAATATTGTAATACAATGGGTTATTTTGTTTTAGCCAATTCAATGCATTTAGAACTTGTTGGGGACGAACTGCTTGAAAATATACATGACCTCTAAATTCAAGTTTGCGTTTAAGCTTGAGCATTATTATACCAGACATTTCAGGTGGCCGTGGTAAAACATTACATGTCTGATCACAGTCAACTGGTACATTACAAATTGCTCCCGAAACTTTTTTCTGTTGCCCTTTTGGCATTACAATTATCTTTTCAAACACAATTCTTTGCGCAATTAGAATTTGTTCCAGTTTTTCTAGAAGTGCAAGTTCTACTGGAATTTCATCAACAAACATATCATTGTAAACTGCCTGACAGGGAATTCGTCCCTTAATTATCTTTGAGTGACAAGTTATGCAAATATATTCTTTGCCGTCAAACGAAGTTACGATGGTGAATACAGAGTTTGGAACAGAATCGTATTTTTTCCTTTCTAACAATTTAACTGACTTTTTATACAACAGACGGTTACAAACTGAACACACATAATAAGGACCTTCCTTTATTCTCGTATGAAACATAGATATATAATAGTGCAAATCATGTTGTTTCTTTGCATTTTGAGGTGAATTCGTTTCATGATATCTACGTTTTGCGTTTGTTCTACATTTCTCACGATAAGCTTCTTTTTCAGTTGCACCCATTGATTGATAATTCATTGCTCGTTTTTCAAGTAAAATCTTTTTGTCGAAAGGATCCATAGACTTGTATCTATGTACATCATTCTCACAAAGAGACTGCTTTTTTACAGGGTTCATTTCCTTGTACTTAAGTTTTAGATTTTCAAGAAGTCCTTGCTTTTCGACAGGGTCCATTTCCTTGTATTTACGTGTCTTAGTCTCATTTAGTGCTTGCTTTTTTTTTGGGTCCATTTCCTTGTATTTACGCGTCTTAGTTTCATTTAGTGCTTGCTTTTCAATAGGGTCCATTTCCTTGTATTTACGTGTCTTAGTTTCATTTAGTGCTTGCTTTTCAATAGGATCCATTTCCTTGTATTTACGTGTCTTAGTTTCATTTAGTGCTTGTTTTTTTATAGGGTCCATTTCCTTGTATTTACGTGTCTTAGTTTCATTTAGTGCTTGTTTTTTTATAGGGTCCATTTCCTTGTATTTAAGTTCTAAACTATCTAGAAGAGCTTTCTTTTTGACAGGGCTCATAGAGCTATAATTCTTTTTCTTATTTTCACGTACTTTTTCCTTTTGTTTATTGGAAATATGTTTTCGTAGCACTCTTTGCTTTTCTGACTTTGTTAGTGGTTGTGGACTTGACAAAAATTGAAGAATATATTCAGTTTTCTGAAGGTCAGGTTCTTTGAGATTAAGATATTCGCATAACCCTTCAACAACACAACGGGAGTCGGAAAGTTCTTTCGAAAGATTTAGTTGAGGAATTTCATTTGGAACAAGTAAAACATACTTTGTTATCTGTCTGTGCTTCTTAACATGCATTTTTTTCTGAATTATACAAGCTAAATAATCGTCTCCCAAACAAATTAAAAATCCTATATTGCTATTGGTGTTTGCCAAGATTACTTTTTCCAAAGCTATCTTGCTGGATACAGAAGCATAACACAACGTTCCTTCAGGTCTAGCTGTATAAGTTATGTCAATTGTTGAACCACATATTTGTATGCTTTCAGGAAAATGAGTTGACGACAACAGATTTTCATTAAGGGCTACTTGGAACGATTCTATAGCATGTTCAACAATGGCGTTTCGCGTTTCATCATTCCAATAATTACGGGTCTTCACAGTAGAGAAACAAATAGCGTAAAGGAGGATATATTGACTTTGCATTTTTTTCAAATCACAGTTATCATTCATTGCGTCATCCAGAACTGTTAGTTTTGATGTTGAGCAACATAAATTAGTGTAGTGTTGGTTCATTAGTATTCACAATTTGTGAAAAGTCATCGCTTGTATCATTTACAATTTTCACACCTTTTATTTCAAATAAAGCACCTGGCCTGTAAATAACTTTAAAATACTCTGTCAAATTTCTAATGGAGTCAAATTCTAATAGGACGCATGTCCCGTGTGGATGAGGCATACCAAAAGAATCTCTAGCATGGGAATCGAATACCTTTAGTAAAGCATTGGGATCAATAAAGATAGATACAGTGTTGTACTCGATAGTTAAAAGAAATGAACTGAATGTTTCTCGCTGTAATTGTTCTAAAGCAGAATCTAGAGGCATGACAAATGGGACACTTTCAGCCATGATAGGTGAATGAAGGTTACCAGAATAACTTTGACTCAACTCAAGTGAGTGATCAGTATCTTCAACAGTTACCATTGTAGGCAGTTCTTCAAGTAGTAAGTACGTTTGTCTTGATAATCTTGACAGTGAAGAATATAACTGATTACCGAGATTCATAATGTTAACTAAGTCTGTCGAATCACATATTGAATTGTTGCGATTCAAGTATATCAGAGAGCATAAACTCATAGCTACACACTGACGGCCAGCATTTTGACCAAATATTTCAACATTACCTTGACTATAAGGAGCATAAATAGTTCTTTCAGGGTTATTAAAATTAGGACCAGGATTTACTTCAATGTCGCCACAAAGGGTGAGCTTGCAAAAATTCACTCGGTAACTGTGGTTCAAATCCTTATGTATACCGGTAATAGGCTTTTGTGTTTTACCAAAATTGAATATGTTGTAATTTTGCTGTCTATTTTTCTTAACTTTTTTGTAGTGCCTTGGTCGAGGTTTTGTTATTTCTGAATTCTTACAATGTATTAGTTTTGTTTTAATGTATTGATAGAAACAATTGTTACTTGAAACTCTCTGACGTTCATGACTGAATGCTTTTGTGTAGCAATGAATATGGGATGATGCAGGTATAGTTCTCTTTATTACTTTTCGAATAGCTTTCCTCAACTTTCTACTCTTTGTGAATAGGCGGCAGAGTCTCTTAACTGGAATTCTACTTGGTTCTCGTTCACGACGACCTACCCTTTTAGCATTTTTATCAGAAATAAATTTCACATAACGAGATCTAAAACAATGTAATTGAATCGGTGTAACACTATTGGTACAGGTTTGAAAACTTTTAGTATCATGTACACTTTTGCTTTTTTTACTGTTGGATGTCGTACTGTTGTCATTCATACTTTTGGGATTTTTTGTTATACATTTTGTATTCATTAATATGAAATTATTCATTAAAGCATCTTTATTCATTGATTTAACTTTATTTAATGATGTAACTTCATTCAGTTGCTTAACATTGTTTACTGATGTAACTTCATTAATTAATATAACTTTATTCATTATAACTTCATTGTTGGCATTCAAAGGTAAGTTGGCATTCAAAGTTAAGTTGGCATTCAAATGTGACTTGGTATTCAAATGTGCATTCATGGAATTCACACTCAAGGGCACCAAAACCTGGAAATTAGAACAAAATAGGGTGTTATATGTTTGGCAAATCAAATTCAATGTTATCGCTTGCTACTCTGGTTTATATAAATGATTACAAAACCTGGTCAAATTGTAATCAGGACCTAACGTTTCGACAGTCCAGTCTACTGTCTTCATCAGGGGTGATCTAAAGCTGGAATCAAAGCTTCTTAGATACCCAAGGGATGATGTCACCTGCCAATAAGATGCATATTTCTCTGGCAAATGGGTACTGTCGTCTCTATTCAGAGCATGATTACTCATATTTATATGCCACGCTTCTGGGCAAAGTCTTCCACCATGTATCGATTTTTTATAGTGGTAATTTAATACTTTAGAGTTTTCCCATGCAATCTTGTGTTACCTGGGCAGTTTTTGCAGTGTAATCGTCAAGATAGTAAAGAAATTTAATATTTGTGATAAAAGAATGTCATGGTGTAATCTGAAATACGACAGAGCTTGGCAGCTTAATTTAAAATCCTAAAATTACTTTGGTTCGGCATAAAACAGGCTTTAAAATAGACTCTAGTAAATAGAAATATCGAATTCTTAAACATGCACGGTCGCTAAATTTGTAGTATGTATAATATTTTCCGAGAGCAAACAGTACTTTGAATATAGTTTGTAACTTTGTATTAAAACACTACGTCAACGTGAATCACTAAATCAACTATAAAACAGAAAATCTTGGGTATACTATTATGCTATTACCGCCACAGCATATGAATACAATCTAAATCTTAACAACTTACCTTTTTAGTTGTTGAACATGGTTCTGAAAACTCTTTCAATTCGACATTCATATTTTACACGAGGGAAGAACGTCGATTCAAACACGAGGCACAAGGACACAATCACACAAAGAAAAATAAATATTGCCCAAAATCACCCCCAAACCTCCCTAAATGCCAACTGATGTACATAATTCATCCGTGTAACCCAGGGCTTCTCGGTCAGAAATGAAGTTGTTTTGGGTTACCTGTAGAAATGCCAACTTCTGTCGCCCAAAACTACGACTACGACGAAAAGGAAAAAAGACCATGGCATTTTAAGACTCCGCTGCGCATACGCAGGCGGAGTAATTAGCATTTATAACTGAAACAGTGAAATGTTATAGTACTTGTAACTGTTGAATGATTGACTTCTCGTGCAATGATAGTGCATAATATCCCAGATGAATGAGGTGAAGTAAAATTAAGTCAACTCTCAAGCTATATTAAAATGTGCTACGAATGTTTTAAATACTAAAATTTTCTAGGGAAGTTTCAACTGCTTTCTTAACACGAAGATGCACATGTAAACTTAGTTTGATATAAATGCTTTCCAAAATAATTTTAACCAAATTAATGAATGACCTCAAAAATATGTCATACATTTTGATAAATCCACATAGCTAACTCAGAAAATGCGTGCTTTAATATACTGACAATATATACACAATATAAAAGCTAATAAGCGTGGATTTTTAATTACAACAAGACGCCTGTTCTGGCGTTAACTCCGGCGCACGTGCCAGTCTTTAATATAGAGCCTCTGAACATAAACAATACAGTTCATATTCGCATTTAGATAGGTCTATTGTTCAATTGTTCAAAAATGTAAATAAACCGCATAATACATTCGCTTTGTCTTACACTTTGCCTTTGGAATTCGCGCTTATATAGTAATATTAAATCTTCAATCCTGTGCAAACTACGACGTGTCAACGCGCCCATACACGACCACATCATCTTGTTAAACGGCGAAATAGCGATAGTGATATTATTAGAATAGGACCAGAATCAACATGTATTAATATATTCTGACCCCAATTCAATCTAAACTTAATCGAACAGCATGAAAACAACGGTTTATTCGTTCCTCTTGGAGGAATTGCCGTATAATGCGAGCGAAATCGAATCGCGCATCGGAAAATTAGCCAAAGCTGTGCACCACAACTCTTGGGAGATAAGACTGGGACATTTTGGGATGTAAAATTTTTTTTGTGGTGTTTCGAATTTAATTAAAATTAAGGCGTTTAGTTTGTTTTGACTAACTCTAGATCAGGTACTGAAACCAGCCTGCATGTAGCTATATAATAATAGAAGCTTAATTTGGGGTGCATGCATGCATGTTCATATATTTGTCTCATGCATACCAGGCTGATCATGATTTCTTTTAAATGCCATTGCTTCTACTGTATTCATACCTGAATAATTATAAGAATAGCTGACTGGGACATCCTGTATAATTGCAACGGGCTCTTTCAAGGTTCCGTTTCGTTGCGATATTACGCAACGTATTTCCATTGTGATAACGAAATTTCGCATCTCTGTACAATACCACCCCATTTAACCATCACTGCAGAATACCACCCCGAGCAATTATTTTCCGCAGCTTCTCCAGATAAGGCACTTTTCAGATTCAATGTGCATTACCAACCGAAAAAGCCATTTCTGGTAGCTGCAACAAAATTATGAACATTCAATGAAAATGGTGTAATGAAACTGAAATATTTCATAAAACCAGGAATCTAATGCCTTGCAGAAGTTTAAAACATTAGTCATTATATTGTGGAAGATACAGACGTACGTTTTAATAAATCAGAAAGAAAAAGAAACGTGTAAGAGAAACAAAAGTTGGCTAGAAATATGTTGATTGTGTATTGTTGCTCGACATGTAACTGCATGGCTATACTGAGTATAATTATACGTCAATGATGCATGTATCTACAAGCTATAAATTACTTATATATTATACAGTTTCAAACCTATTATTATTATTATTATTATTATATTTAACCTTATTTACAAAACGGTAACCCTTCAGTACTAAAAACTGATTTTCAAGAGGCCGTTCACACGCTAGTAAAAATCAATCTATACATTATTTACAAAAATTAACACACACAATTATATAAGTTTATGAAAGTATAAGAAATAAGAGAAATTACTAATTATTAGACGTAAAATGGCTACCAAGAATATTTTTAAATTGACCAATTGTTAGCTCTTGTTGTTTTGCAGTGGTTGGCAGATCATTCCACAATGTTACGCCGGAAAAGCTGATGCTTTTCTTCATAAAGTTTGTCCTTGGCTTTGGAATTTGAAAATTAATTTCGTTACTTCGTAGATTATGAGCTTCATTGTTGCTTATTTTAAACATATTTATCATAGATTCATTGTGATTTTTGTTTCTTATATTGTACATAAACGTTGCCTTTTTTATTTTCATTTGTTTTGCCAATGGTAGCCACCAAAGGTCTGCTAGGATTTCACTCGACCTTGTTTCATACGATTTACCAGTTATAACTCGTGCAGCCCTGTTTTGCATTTTTTGTAACTTTTCGATCAAATAACTATTACAAGTATCCCAAACAAGGCTACAGTAGTCAAAATGTGGCAGAATTATGGCATTTTAAACTTGTATAAGA